TGTAAAATGATTAATTAGACTCAGGCCAATGAATCATGTAGTAGTGTTATGTACAATAAGCAGAAACAGTTATTTTGAGTCATGCTTCTATATAATCATCTAACGTTGAAGGATCGGAGAGAGTATAGATTTCGATATCTCCTAGAAATTAAAAAAAAAAAGCTAAATATGGTTATGTCCTCAACTTTATCCTATAAAAAAAGGTTAAATGCTATTTTGTCCCTCAACTTCAGCACAAAGCCCCTTTTCTGTCCTTTAACTTAAAAACGTTCATCTCTGTAAAAAATTTTTACTTGAAAGGTTTAGGGTGGGTTTGGCATTATTGTGAAACGCTGTGGTTGCAACTGCGGTTGTACTTAGTTGTGATTGTACTATACTGTAACTGTGATTAAAAATTATTTTTGTGTTTAATTATTTATTTTTTAAAAGTAATATAAATAAAAATGATATATTTTATTCATTATTAATTAAAATTTTAAAGACATTGTAAGATATATAATTATTAAAATATATAATATTTATTATTTTTTAATAATTTAGGTTTTAAATTTTTTTTATTTATTAAAATATTATAAATTATGATATAATTAAATTATATAAAATTAAATTTTAATGAGTAATGTTATAATTATATTAAATATTAGATTTTTTTTGTAAAAGTCACAACCATAAAACTTCAAAATGAAGATTTTGACTTTATACATAAAATTATTGTTAATCTATTGTGACTTTTTGCAATTTAAAAAAAATTACTAAACACATATATATCTAAAAATACTATATGATTACACGAAAAAACTCTTAACCGTAATACCAGTGCACCCTTAATTTCTATAAGATAGTTGTTATGATCTTACGTTGGAGTTGGGGTTCCAGTCGAGGCAAGGATACATAGCCACATAGGGTCTGATTCGAGCACGGGAGGATACATAGGATGGGAGGTTTCCTCATCACATGCCAAATAGACTTGTAGGTAAAGAATAAAATAGACTACCTTTCAAAAGGTGCCTTGAATGGTAGATGGAAGATATTGGATTTAATTGTGATAAAATTTATCCAATACAAATTAAAAATTAAAGTATAAGTTAAAAATGTAACAAATATATATTTTTATAATTAATTTACATTAAAAAAC